TGTCTGTCTGTCTGTCTGTCTGTCCGTCCGTCCGTCCGTCCGTCCGTCCGTCCGTCCGTCCGTCCGTCCGTCCGTCCGTGTATCTATCTATCTACGTCCGTCCGTCCGTCCGTCCGTCCGTCCGTCCGTCCGTCCGTCCGTCCGTGTATCTATCTATCTACGGACGTCCGTCCGTCCGTCCGTCCGTCCGTCCGTCCGTCCGTGTATCTATCTATCTACGGACGTCCGTGTATTTATCTATCTATCCATCCATCCATCCATCTGGCTGTCTATCTCTGTATCCACCATCCATTTATCCATCAGTTTGGATTTTCATCCGTCCCTTGTTCACAGATCCATCCATCATTTTTTTCCATCTGTCTATCTGTATTCAATTCAATTCGTGTGTACTTCTATAGCACTTTTACAATGTAGATTGTGTCAAAGCAGCTTAGCACAGAAGTTCTAGTAAATTGAAATTGAAACTGCGTCAGTCCAGTTTTCAGAGTTGAAGTTCAGTTTAGTTCAGTTCAGTGTGGATTAAATTTTACTGCTGAAAGTCCAAAAACTAAAGAGCAAATCCATCAATGTGCAGCTCCACAAGTCAATTGTATGCCTGTCTGTCTGTTCTTTCTGTCTGTCTAACTATTGTTCTATGGATTATAAATCTGTAGTCTGTCTATATCTAATAGATTGTTGATAGTCAGACATTCTGTCTATTGATTATTCTGTAGCTTAGTTCTATTATTTTTGCAATCTATGTTTGATTTTAACATACACTTGTTGTCATGGCTGATTAGATATTTTAATTTATAAGTAGTTGTAGATGATTTTTTGTTTTTATGTTATTATTTTTTCACTTTTTGTATTTTTTCATCTATTTTTCCGATATAGTATTTATATAACAGTTTGATGGCATAATCATGTAGATAAAAAGAAAATCAAACACCTTTTGTGTGAGGAACTACTTTCACTCCTTCACATCTGCAGCTTACAGAACAGCAGAAACCGTTGCTACCGTTGCTACTATAACTAGCGTTATAAAGTGATGAGAAAACAGGTGATTTTGCTGACATTTTGAGATTTTAAGCATTAAACTTAAAACAGTATTTTCTGTTGCAATCGGTAGATAACAATAATTAACCCCAGAAAAGCCAAAGCAAAGCAGACACTACCAGAAACACCAGCAGATTACTATGGTATAAATACAGCACTGCAACATACAAAAAAGAGAGATCGACTTAAAGTCACTTACCTGTTTAATAATGATTTGATTAGCTGTGGTTTGAAAGTACGATGTGCTTTTCTCCAATAGGGGCTTATAATGCAGTCTCTGTTGCCATCTTGTGGCGGAAAGTCAATCATCTTTGCTCTGCTCAGTATGACAGGCTGATGGATACTGATGCGCTGTATCTCCGAAATGATAAATATTTAAATTAGGCTCCATCCTTATAAATAAGCTGCATAGTTGCAATTTAAACAGCTACATTCTCACATAAAAAGCCTCAAAAGTACATTACGTTTTGCAACAGCTGCAATATTTGTCAAAATTAAGTGAGTTTATTGATCTGCTGCCACTCTATGTGGGCGGAGTAATACAGAAGGGTAAGGAGGCTGTACGAGTGCTGTTATTGCAGACTATCGCACAGATATCAGCCAATCAGATTTGAAAATCAGACAGAACTGTTGTTGTCCAGGTCAAATTCATTAGTTTGCCTTTATAATGCTTCCGTTGGACCACAATTTGAAAGCAACATCTGATTTTCAACTGTTTATTTTTGAGTCATTTATTATGAGTCATATATTGAGTCAAGTTATTTCGCTGACTTGTATTTTTTCTTTCTTCAGTGGAAGGCTACCAACAATTTTGTCCATGTATATAGATTATTGATCATTATATATAGAACATTTCAACTTATGCAACTGGGTGCACATGAATCAGCAACAAAGACATTTTATTAATTCTTTAAAGTCAGTATTAGCACTGTTTTAATTGTGCCGTGCAGGCAAACAGTATTTAGTTTAGTAATTCAGACCTAATCTGTGCTTGCACTGTATTGAAACTGGATTTCAGGATTTCATTAGTGAGTAAGCGGCACGTTGTTCCCTCTTAAATACGAGTGTTTAGTTATCTTAATAAATGCATGTTTCAGTGGAAGTATTTTTGTATTTTTGTCCCCAGTGTATTGATTTGCATTTGTGTAAAGGTTTCTCCAAACTCTAGAGAAACACGGCAGCAGTTCTACTTAAACCATATGCATTTAAAAGACCCTTGACTTCTGCACATTACCATAAGCAGAACATCACGTACCAAAGTACACACAGAAGTCAAGCTTAACCTTGAATCTGAAAGCACTGTAATGTTCTTTTTTCATATATATTTTGTACCAGGTTGATTAGATCTCTCTCTTGGATTGCTTACTCAAGGCATTTCTTGCCTTTTAAGCTGAAATTGGTTTAACATCGCGTACAGTTTATGCCCTACAGAATGCGACGTGCTCTTCAAACGCTCACTTTGTCTAATAGCAGCTGAGAGACTGAAAGGGCGAGCTGTAATTTCACCCAGACTCAGATGTCGGACGATAGGGGATTTGCCCAGCGCAGCACTTGCAAGGTTGCGAATTAGCCGGCAGTCTTTATTCAACGGCCAGAAACTATGACGGATCGAGCCTGGAAAGGAGAAGTCTGCATATTTGAAGCGGTGCACATTTCTCAGTCT